CCAAACTCACAAACTGTGAGATCGTGACCTGAGCCAAAATCAAGAGTCAGACGCTTAACTGACTGAGCCACCCAGATGCCCCAAGCCACCATGTTTTAATGGGATCATTGAGAAGGGAGTTCTCCTTCTCAATTTTTACTGAATGGTGTAGACAGCTTTGGAAAGTCCGAGATTCTGGACACCACTGTGTAGTCCTTCGTTCTGGGATGACCAGTAGCTACGAACTAGAAACTAGTTTTTGAAGTTAGTTACATTATTTTTGTTATCACTACTTAACGCTATAGTCTCTGGGAACCAGATAGCCTTCTAAGTGACGTATATATTTGGAAAGGGTTATTCTGTGGAGACTGGGGGTGTTTTGGAAGAGCAATGTTATCAAGAATGGGAGCACACAGCTTATAGGTAAAGAGGCCTCTTTGGGAAAATGACAGAAATATTTGCCCCTTGGCTTATGGAGTCAAAGAAAACACAGTACCAATACACGACGATGGCTTATTTGAAATTTTCTAATCGAAGCCAGATCTGGAGGCTCTAGTGGGAACACACGTTAAAGCCCAAGAAGGGTGGTTGAGAAGTTCCTTTTGCCCAGAAGGCAAGGAGGCCCTCCGTGTCTCCAACATTGGAGAGTGTTGAAAATGGCGGAATGCTCTGTCCTCAGCCCTCTCGGAGGGTGGCCATCAGTTCGAGGATAACTGCTCTGTGGTCGCTAAGCCCGGGGGTCTTTTTTTGGCTGTTTTCACTTCCCTTTCCTAAGGCGGCTTGCGCATTAACAGTTGCTCAATCCATGGTTGTTGACCAGGTGTAAAAAAAAAAAAAAAAAAAAAAAAAAGAGGTGAAACCAAATCCACCCAGATGTAGTGAAAGGACAGCGGAAGGAGACATAAGAAAGAAGGAAATGAAGAACTTAAGCGAGGCAGAGCTCATCTGAAACACAGAAGTGACTGGAAGCCTGAGAGGTATTAGCTCAAAAAGGCTTGTTGTGTGAGCCTCTCCAGCAAGCTGTGTACATGAGGAAGGAGGGCTGTGGAAGGGAGGGCAGCCTGAAATCCAGGTCGGGTCAGGGTCTTGCTTCCTTGGGATTCAGGCCTCTGAGAGAGCCCTCCTAGGAGGTGACGGTGTCACTCTGGCCTCAGCCCGATGGCTCGCCGCCCTGCCTTTCCCCAGAGCCGGAGGCCTCACCTTCCTGCAGCCTCTGCAGTTCTTTCTGGAGCTGTCTCTGCTCGCGGGTCAGCAACTTCATGTGGTAGAGGCAGACCCGCTCCAGTCTCTGCAGTCTTTGGCTGAGCCTGGCGTCGGCCTGCCTGGCGTTCTTCCTCTCCAAATCGAAGTGCTTATACAGAGGCCCCCCGACCATGTGCCTCTCCATCCTCTTCCCGATCTAGGGGCAGTAAAACAAGATTCTCCCCAGGCCCCGCGATTCACCCGATAGAGCAAGACGGGGACCCAGACCCCTGGCTTTCAATCAGGTTTCAGCGTTTGATGGAGTCACACCATTGGGAAATTTTGCCCTATCCTAATGGATTCCCAGATTGAGGGCAAAATCATTGCTCTGAGGCTCAGTGTCCTTGTCAATAAGATAGCGATAGATGATAGGGTCCCCCAGGGCCCCAGTCACACTGCCGTGAAGATCAAGCATACGAATAACTCTTTGGGAAAAAAATAGAAACATTTTACATCTCTAAGGCATGATGCACCCAATAAAAGAGATCCTTCTATTCCTTGAAGCCTCCCCAAAAAGCCTGCTCAGGGGTCTAGAGAGGATCTGGGACTTAGGCGGAGACATTCTGGGGCCCCTTCTGTTCATTCATTCACACATGCATGGGTCCACGAAGGCTGTTAGCCTACCAGGTGCTAGGTGCTATGCTAAGTGCTGAGGGTGGTGGTGACTGAGTCACAGTGTCTACTCCCAAGGGGGCTTTCAGACTTGTGGCTGTGGAATCCAAGGATCCACACCAAATCTGAACAATCAACATTTCGAATATGGAAGGGTCGGGACCTACTGGTCACAAAACGGTGCAGGCATCCCAGACCAGCAGTCTGGGCGGCACTGGTGAGACAGCTTGGGTGGGACGCCCTCACCCGTCTTTTCAGAGCCCCGTGGTCTCTGCCCTTCTTGTCCCCCGATCCCCAAGCCCAAGCTGGCTTCGTCCTCTGGGGAACTCTATCGCACACACAGGCTGGACACACCTTCCTGGTCTTGGAGTCCTTTGCAATAACATATTCAGCGCTAAGAGCACAATATGTGCCCAGGATATAAATGCATCGCTATCAATGGAGCTTTGGTGGTAATAATGCAGGAGAAAGCTTGGTGTTGAAAGGGAGGATAAGGCCAGGGCCCAGGAAGGACGCGTTAAGACAGCTCGCTTTATAGTCTAAGTGTAGACTGAACTTTAAACAAAGGACAGGTGAGTGGCACTTACCTACAAAGCCAGGTTGCTCACCGGGAGAATGCTGCTTGTATCTTTTGTGGCGTCAGGCTGAGACTGGGTTAATGCACTTGTTTTCCTTCAGAAAATTTAGGAGTTTGGTGTTGAGGAGCGAGGAGGGAGAGGCCGGGCTCGGGGGGGGGGGGGGGGG